TTATAGACAAAGTTATTAGATGACTAATAATTATAATTTTATTAACTTAATTTAGGATATATTAGATGAAGCTTAAATAGATTTGATTAACAATTATAATTTTATTTATTTAATTTAGGATAATTTTGTAATAATAATATAACTATATTTATAATTGGTAATTTGTTTTAATTATATATAATAAAATGTTTTATTACAAGTTGCATCAATACTATATTCACAGATATTAATATTTCTTGTTTTAAAGACATGAACAGGCTGTGTTTCTTTTAAAATTATTTTGTATTGACCTTTATAAAGCTATTGTACTGCAAATTCAAATGCATCATCTTGATGTTTATATCTATTCTGCTCTAATTCCGTTTACCAAAAATGTATTTGTTTTTATCAAATTTCGAGATTCATACTGTTATTAATAAGCCAAGCATAAATTTCTCATGAAAGTAAGTCTATATTGTCTTTAATAAATTCTTTGATGCTTTGAAGTACAACTATATCTTTTGGTTTCTCATATATTAATTTATGTTTGAATATTAATTTTGCTATATTAATTGATTGGTTAATGCTAATTTTAATAATACTATTATACTCAAATCGCTCTATCAATAGTGTATCATGATGCTTTGAGAGATTTTCATATTTCTTTGATTTTTCAGTCAAAATAATTGACTGTGATCAATAATACCAATATGTTGTTGCATATTTTTCTGTGTATGTTTTATGATAACTTTTTGGACAAAATTTGAAATAAGTATATAATTAAAAGTAAATTGTAAAAAAATATTACATATATCTATACAAATTCGTTTACATCTTCAATTAATTCAACTAATTCCTCTGCTATTTCCTTTAGTGATTTGTCAAATGTTGATATATTAATATCATATTAAAATTGAAACAGATCTTCTAATTGTGCTGAATAGTCATCTAAAATTTGGATGAAGTGATTACAAAGATTATTAGTCTCAATTATATCAAAACCATCTAAATTTAATTAATTATTTTCTTGGTTATCAATTTTTTCAGTTTCTAATTGCCTCTTTTTTGCATTTTTGTGTTCAGTTGAACTATTGTTACATTTGTCGCACATACGAAATTGTTTCATTTTTTTTGTTACTGTAAGTCTTACAAATTCACTAGTAGGCTTTACGTCTCTGCATCTGATACAAATAGGGGTTTTTATTTATAATATCAGAAAAAAACTTTAAGTTTACTAACATTTTATAAGTGATAAATTCATTAAGATTAGGTCAGAAATTTAATAATTTTATTAAAACTTATTTTAATAGATATTGTTACAGTATCGTGACCTTCTTAATAGCAGTACTATAACAATAACACGGCTACAGGGATTCTTCACAGGTTTATAGCGATGTCTAACAGATAAGTATAATTTCTGCTTCTTGGAGAAACTATACTCTTCTGTCTGTGGCAGTTCAGGCAGACAACAGTTTATAGATAAAATATATATTTATTAAAGATAAATAAGATAGGCTATCCTTAGCTTCTATTCCTAAAGAATCCTATAATATTACAAGAGAGAATTTAGGAAAGAGGGGAAGCGGGGTGGACAATAACAAGTCTGTTGTTATTTCAGGTCTAATGTTGACTTGGGGAAATTTACAGCCTTTTTATATCTTTAGAGCTAATAGCTAATTGTTGCAGCTAAGTGTAATTTACTTAGTGCTAAGCGCTAATTGTAATCACTAATCGTTAAACGTTAAGCGTTAAGCATTAATCGCTAATTGCTAATCGCTAATCGCTAAGTGTAATCGCTAATTGCTAAACGTAATCGCTAATCATTAATCGCTAAGCGTAATCCCTAATCGTTAATCGTTAAGCGTAATCGTTAATCGCTAATTGTAAATTGCTAAGCGTTAAGCATTAAGGCTAATCGTTATACATGTCTTTTAAATTCTTCTCTAAGATAAATATAATAATAACTTATAACTAATAAAATACAAATATCGAAATAATAAAATAATACTAAGATAAAATAATAACCAATAAAATAAAACTGTTCTATAACATTTCTGTTCCCTTATAAAAATTTCTCTACAAATTCTTAATTAAAGACTGATACTCTCTATCAGTAAACTTAACAACGTGAGTGCCAATAAAGTATTGGGTTTGATATAACAATTCTTTAGGTCGAATACTAAAGATTTGTTGAAGATGAGTGGCTCCTTTTCAAATGTCTTGGGTCTTTCGAGAGCTTTGAGAAGCTTGGAGAAGTTCACGAATTTGAGGTCGTTCATCGGTCTGTTTCTGGATGAGAATTCCTAAGTACAGATAAGCTTCAATAATTTTTATTTGCTTAGATCGAGTACATCCTTTGTCTTCTAATTGTCGAATAATCTTGGTTAGTTGGTCTTTCCAAGTTCTACTGATAAAAGGGTTAGAGTGAGCGTCTGATTGAGGAGTTAAGGTTTGGGTTAGTTCGTCTTGAACTTTTTGGTAGACTTTAGTATCTGGTTCAGTTTCTGGTTTGAGAGGAGTGGTGGTTAAGGTTGAGTCGATTTTTGGTTCTTCGGTTAGAAAGGTATCCAAGAGGGTATCCGTGTTGATAGGTTCGGATGGGAGGTCTACTGCGGTATTTACTAGCGTAGTAATATCACTAGTATTGTTAGAGTCATTAGGGTCCCACAAGAAAATACTTTGGGAACAAATTTCTAAGTTATTTTGGGCACCGGGGTCTTGTTTCCAAATAGTAAGAAAGTATTGGAGGGCTTAGATAGTTACAGGTTGCAAGAGGACCAGGAAAACTCTATAATAGGTCCCTGCCAAAAAAATTAATTATATTCTCTGCGAATCAGGAGTTTTTTATAATTAAGCAAATCAATTTTACAAGCACCTTTAAGAAACTAATAATAATGCGAATCACTATTGGTCAAGCACCTTAAGAATATATGATTTATATAATTTGTACATATTTCAAATATCGATTTTAAATCTGTTTATATCAAAATACAACTTACAACTAATTTTAATAATTACAAAAAAGAACCTAAAAAATTTTTTTCAAATTTAAGAAGGCCAAATCATTCTTTGATTTGGTTTGATAATTTTAAACTTAAAATGAATACGCATTCATTTATTATAAAACAAAAGTATTAAAAACAGAATGCTATTCAAGAAATATCAGCATTATATTAATAAAACAATTGTTTATTTTTACTAACTTATAATTTTGATTTTAATTTGATATTTGGTATCATTCAATAGTTATATATTAAAGTTCGTAAATTTTTTTAATTTATACTAAACTTTCAATAAATTATTTATAAAAAATACAAATTTATAGTACTGAATAATTTATTAATATAATTGTAATAAGTTCATCAATAAAATATATTGTATATTCTATCAAATATCTTATAAACTATTCAAAAATTTTTAAAAACAATTCATATGAAGAAGGTAATTTAAAAAAATTATAGATCGAAATAGTTTCATCATCTACCGAAATCAAATTGTTATCAAAATTAGTATACAAACGTATGCCTAAAAAATAAATTACTTCACATGGAGTAATATGAATTGTAATATTTCCTCCTATTGAATTTTCACATGAAAAGATACGATTTGTTACTTGCATATAAACTTCAATAGAAATATATGATAAATTATCTAAAAAACCAACTGGTTTTTCAACCTATGCATGTCATTCTCCACATTTTTCATATATTGCAATAACTTTTTCCAAACATAAAATTCTATTAGAATAGACGATTAAAAGGCCATTTTTACACAAAGGATTAAGATCAAAGATATTTGCTGAACCAAGATTTTCTACTAAAAAATTGAAATAAAATATTAATAAATTATTATTTTTTTTTTTTAATGTTAAGGTGATCACTTGGGGGTCTGGCACGTTTTATTAACTTTGGTTGCGAATGTCAGG